ATGAACGCTGCCCCGTATTCAAAGTGGTATGGGCGCAGCACTGAACACATTCGATGACGGCACGGAGACGCGGACGTGCATCGACGGCAAGCAGCGGCTGACGTCGATCCATAGGTTCATGCAAGGCCTGGTACGCCCTCTTTTGCACTGTTCGTCGCTCGATTGTTGACCAGCGCTTCAGATTCCCCGTACGTTCTATGCTCCGCCGCACACTTTACATTCATTGCCGTCCAACTTATCGCTGGGTAGATAAAGACAAGTGCGTGCCCTACCCTTGCGTACAGCGCAATGATCATTAAACGAATATCAGCTTGACCGGAGACAAGTTGTGGTACCGCGACAATCCCGACAACCGCACGCGCACGGCGAAGAAGCTGCTCCCCGAAAAGTATCGGAAATTGTTCGACAACAAGGCCGTGGTTTGCGTCGAGTACGCGGATCTCAGCGGCCAGGATGAGCGCGAGATCTTCCAGGTGCGCATTCTATTCTTTTGTCACGTACGGCTTATACATGCCACCTTCCTCCAGCGTGTCCAGCTCGGCGTCGCCCTCACGCCCGCAGAGAAGCTGAAGATCCTCACGACGCCGCGGGCGACCTTCGTGCGCGCGCTGCAGGATGCCTTCCTGAACAACGACGAGTCGGCGCTCGGCGGCAGCGCGTTCGCCTGGGACCGCTCGCGCGGCTCCGACTTCCGCTGCCTCGCGCAGACGTTCCAGTGCATCGAGATGAACCCCAAGACGACGTCGATCCAGGCGACGGAGAAGTGGCTTGCGGACCCGAAGCCGATGAGTCCCGCGTTCGCGGCGGCGATCGAGAACACGTACCGCGTGTTCGAGGCACTCGCGGAGCGGTCCGACGGCGTGCTGAACAAGATCTCGCCGGTCGAGTTCATCACCGTCGGTATTCTGATATACAAGCACCGGAACGCGCTGACGCTCGAAGGGGTGTCGCTCGCGGTGCGGGAGATGCGCGCGGACGTGCGGCAGGAGCACGAGGACATACGGAACAACGGCAAGGTGTACAAGACGATGAGCACGTTCATCAACAAGTACAGGGCGCCGGCGTTGGTGCGCGGGCAGGTCAGCGCCGCGGAGGCGGTGGACAAGCGGGGGCCCAGCATCAGCATCGACGCGGAGGGGAGGACTACGGTGAACGGGACGGGGGCGGGGACGAAGCGGAAAGCGCGGGCACAAGAGTCTGACGACAACGACGAGGATTCGGACGCCGACTATGCGCCGGCGCACAGGGCCAAGGCGGTGCCGCGCAAGCGCTCGGCCGCGAGCCCCACGAAGCCGGCCACTACTAGAGCGCCACCCACGCCGCCCACATCGACGTCGACTGCGGCGCAGCTGGGGAGTCCGTCCGCACCCATGTCCGATCCCATACGCGCGGCGATGGAGCGCATCAAGCTGCAGCGCGAGGCGGGAACGATGCCCTTGTCTTCCCAGGGCAACCCAGCGCTCACGCCGGGCCAGACGCCGTTCTCCTTCATGCACCCACAGCAAATGCCGATGTATGGCCAGCAGCAGTCGCAGCACGGTGCGGCGGGCGTGGCGGCGGCGCTGGAGCAGAACCTCATGGCGAGCGTGTCGGGTGGGTGGCCCGGGGGCGGCGGCACCCCGAATGGGAGCGGGAGCCGAGTCAAAACCGAGGCCGGTGCGGGGCCCATGTCCGCTGGTAGCAATGGGAGCTGGTCGCAGGACGGCGGCACGGGCCGAGGGTACGGGGGGCATACGCGGGGGCAGGGGCGGGAGTACGACCGGGACCGGGACCGCCGGGATTATGACCACGACTACGAGCACGGGCGGGGCGGCAGCGCGCGGTACCGCGAGCGCGACCGGGATTACGGGCGACGGTATTAGCGCGCCGTCCACTGGTTCTGGCGCATGGCGCGTCTTGCTGGCGGGTCCCGTGTGGTCCGTTGCAAGGGTGTGCGGGTTGCGTCGAGCAGAGCAGAGGTGGGCGGAAGTGTACCTGGTGCGAGCTGTCCTGCGGCGTTGGGGGGCCAGGGCGAGTCGACACTTGGTCGATAGTGGGACGAGGTGTGGTAGAGCGGCTGCCTTATCATCGAATCCTTCTTGCATGCAATTCTTTTCAGTATTATTACAGTAACACGTGTAACTCCCTTGTTCAAGCAAGTCTATTTCATTAGTCTAGTCTTTACCTACAAGACTTGCAAGCAACTTGCAAGTGGATCCGCTCTTGCACCGCCACCTCGTACTTGTTACCAACAACCACCTCGGGGGAACGAGCGCGAGGTTCTTGAAATGCTTGCTTTTCCGTATCTCAAATCTCTTCCAATCCTCGTGCGGTAACGGCCCTCAACACAGCTCCTCCAGGCTCGAGCCTCTGCTATACGATATACCGTGTCCCGGTACCTACAGACCTCGCGATGGAACCGGTTTCGTCAAGGCGCGACGGCCCTCGCTACCTCTTCATGACACCCCCAATTTGCGCCAGACGTCGCTGAGACGGTCCTTGCCAAGTGCACCGGCGTCAATAACCTCGCTGTGGGACGTAGCCTCGCCGGTTTCGTCCCCGCCTACTTGGAAGCAATGCACCTCGTCGCCATGTGCGATCTGCTCGGCGGTCGAACAACGGTGGCTCGCCGCGGCCCTGCATTTGGCAGCCTGACGCATTCGCTCCCAATGCACGCCGTCACGGTGGTGCGGGAGGAAGGCGCAGGTGTAGAGGACTGGGCGGCACGTCTTCTGAATCTGCGCCTGACGCATCTCGAATTCGTACGCTCCGCGCGAGCCGTTCCTCGGCATGCGAAGCGGGTGCCGCGCGCTACTAGCATGTCCCGGGGAACTTGTGGCGGGACGTCCGCACCGTGTCCGTGCACTCTCTTGTCTCGATCGCTGCAGGTCGAGGACGTGCGCTTCGTCATCTTCGCCAAGGACCGGGAGTCGGGCGCGTGCGGAGGACGGATATCTGCGTGCGTATTGGGCCACTTCGTTGCGGCGAAACGAAGGGGATGTTGTTCGTACGTTTCGGCTTTGTTCGCTCATGTCGTCTCTGGCACTGGAGTTCATCCCGGATGTCTGCGGCGGCTCACGAGCCGCTCCCTCCTCTTGCGGTATCTCCGCTTCAGTGCCGCCTGAGCTGCACTTCTCCTTCACGTACCACGTTCTTGAAGGTTCACCGCCCTGCCTCTAGCTCCTTGTATTCCATTTCCGCTGCCCCCACTTCGCTCTTGTCACTCAATCTTGTACCCTCTTTCTGCATATAGTCTCTGTATACACTCCTTCCCCTCATTTTCTCCCCACCTAACCCACTACCTTCTGGCGTTCTTACCGTATCTCTTCCCTGCGTTGACGTTGCTCCGATCGCTTCCCCCCAGGCTCTCTAGCGAACCATAGCGCACGCCGTCGTCTCCGCAGGTGACGCGAGGGCCATGCACGAGATGCGTGCGATGCTCACGCCTTGGCCGTTTTACGTGCATGGGATGGTCATCATGAAGGGTGTGTGCCCCTGGGCTTCTTGTGCCTGTCTCTCTTCGTGTTCCCATACGTTTGCTGACCTCTTCTCTCTCAGCCGCGTGCTCCGCAGGCTTCAATTTACTCTCGCTGGGCTCGACGAAACCTCTTTTTGAACTACCTGCAAAACAACAATGTCCCCACCGCGCGTTCGACCATAAATGTCTGGAAGCGGGGGCACGATGTACGTCTTACTCCGCCTTAGTCTATCTTGATTTTGCATTCTATTGATCCTTCGAATTTGCTCTGCGGCGGTCTTGTTTCGCGTGGAGACTTTCCTTCTTCCCGTTTCTCCCGTTTACATCCCTGTTGTTTCCTCTGCCTTCCTGGCATATCTTGCAGCCGGTCGAGATGACTGCATCCACCCATTCCTCGATATGTCGTCCCGTATCTCTACTGCTCTCCGCCTCATTGTTACATCCTGCCGCCCTTAATGCCCACGGCAACGAGATTACGCCCGTCTTTTACGTGCCGCGCAGCTTGCACGCGGCAGGGGTTGTATACCTGGGATGCGGTCCTGCGCATGCGCGATACGGTGCTTTGGGCACACGTGTCGCGTACGCCTTGCTTGGTGACGTGGCTGCCTGCTCTCGGTATGACCGCGCGCTGCTGGATTGCTCCTTACCAGTTCCCTCTCTCATCGGCGCGGCGCGGTGTCCTCCTTCATCTCCGGCCGGTTATGTTCCTCAGCCAGCAGAGCAGCGCATTGGGCCACTTCCGTGCCGCATCATGTCGTTCTTGACACACTACCTCTGCTTTTAATCTCGCTCTTATCTCTGTGATTGACACTTTTTTCTCTGGCTCTCGTAGGATGCGATCTCGAGAGCTATGCAGGTCGGCTTATGCAGCTTCAATTTCGTGGTCGAAAGCTCCCAAGCTGCATGTTGTGCCATTGCACACTCTCACTCTCGTGCTCACTGCACTCACTATCCATGCCCTGGTGCACAGGCTTGACTGGATTATGTGGCTGTGCCGGGACTTGGAAAACCTTTCTTCGTCGTCGTCGGCCTCATGCTGCTGGCCAGAACTTGAGGAAGAGGTGCGCATGCTCTTAACCTTCTGGTCTGTCTAGGTGCTGGGTGCACTTTACTTGTCCTCTGATTTGCAGGCTTCGCTGCTTCCACGACGATGCAGGGCCCATCCAGCTGTGAATAATTCAAGTTCCTTGGACTGCTTGGTATCGTCGCTGTGCGAGCCACCAGCGCTCAGCGTGTGGGATGTCGTGAGTGGATTCTTGATCATGTCCTCCGTATTCCTCCAACACAGACCTCTATATGTTTCCCACCTAACAAGGGCTGTACCAGTTGCTAGTGGGAACCACTTCTGCTTTTGCTTCTCTCGCCCTTAAAAATCCATGTGTCTTCTTTGCCCATCTATGTCACTACCAAGTCTACTCCCTGGTCACTACATTTCCAATTTATTCAATATAATCTATTGTTGCATTCATCTGAATCCTGTGTGCTTCTCTCTGTGACAAAGAGAACTTCAAAAAAAAGACAAAAGAAATACCCTGGAAGCAAATTCCCGCTAGCCGATTTGAACGACTGACCTCGTCATTAAGTTATCTCACACAACATATACTAGTGACGCGCTCTACCAACTGAGCTAAGAGGGATCCATCAAGTAAATGCTTCTGTCTAGGTGTAGGTGCACCTGCTGTCCTCTGATCTACAGGTTTCGCCACAATGATGCAGGGCCCATCCAAGATATAAGTTCCTTGGACTGTTTGGTATGGTCGTTGTGCGGATGTCGTGGATTCTTGGTCACAGCCACATGCATATGTCCTCCGTATTCCTAGGCCCTTACATATTTCCCACCTGACAAGGGCTACCACTTCTGCGTTTGTTTCTCTCACTTATTAATTCATGTGTCTTCTTGCTGCTCTCTGGTCACTACATTTCATAGTTATTCAATATAATCTATTGTCAATGTTCCTGAAGGCCTGAAGCCTGCTCCGTGGTAAATAAAAAAATTCTGGGAGAAAACAAATTCCCGCTAGCCGATTTGAACGACTGACCTCGTCATTGACTAATCACACTATCTCACGTGATATACTAGTGACGCGCTCTACCAACTGAGCTAAGAGGGAGTTGCTACACATTTCCAAAATCTTGCCAACTCTTACTTACTGTAACTATGGTAGAATTCCAAAGCTTGCAGTCGGTTCACATGATCCTAGAGCACCTCGAGGTCCCGAAGTACAAAATTGCGCAAACTGACTTGGCTGGCTCTAGGAAATGCTGTTACCATTCGGGGCGGCTCCCAACCCAACCTGGACGCGCTTAGTATCGAGCCCTGGTCTGCCGGCGCAGAGGCGCATTGGGTCTGGTAATTGTTTCTGATACTCGTAAGCTTTCCTTCAATTGCAAGGACGACGCAACCTCTGACCACCGCTCCAGGCGAGGTTGCTTCAAGATACAGTCTCGGGCAAGTCTCGGGTCATTTGTCCAGTGGCATATGCACCCGATAAGAGGATGGCTGTCAAAGTACTAGTATATTGCATACCGTTCAAGTTCTCACTTGGGTCTTGGGAAGTTCCCGACTTTGCATGACCATGGCGCTTTGAAAGTAATAGTGAAAGTCCTCACAACTCCTTCGAATACCTCACTCCATGTGCCGAGCCACCTTCGTCGTACTCAGGCTCCGAGTCGAGCAGATTGTGTCGCAACAAATACAGAGTATTGTATGTCGCCATTTCGGATCCCCTCCCTCACTAACTAGTAGGAAACGACCTGGGACCGTTCGGAACTGTTTACGCTCCTTGCGCCATCGTCTCCCATTAATTCTGTCAAGCCTGATCCCGTGTCATCGGCGGACATCATCGTTATAGATTTCACGAAGTAGCAATCCATCGTGGGATTCGACGGGACACTGTGAAACAAGTTCAACCTCAGGCTTTTGTTCAATGTTATTCCTACTGACGGCTGACTGTCCTATCTCCGCATTCCATCAAGTGCCACAGACTTTTATGGTTCACGTACGGCTTTCTTCGATTTTTTGCGTCCATCGCCGGTGACGGGAACGCCGCACAGTGTACAGTCTGGACGATGTCGAGTTCTTTAGCAGCTTCGACATTGACAACGCGCAATCATACCTATCTTCTGTCGTCAACGACATTCTCTCCGTCAATAGCCTCTCGAAGGTGCCGCTTTACAGAGTCGTCGTATGCATCGTGCAGTACTTGTAATCCATACACCACAATTTGAAGTTATGGGGCGAGAACCCGAAAAATACGCCGTTTCCGTACTACACAGGACCTCCCCCGAGTCGAACGGGCTCGCAACGTCTTAACTCAATCAGTTAACGGGACGCGGTGGTGCGCCACCCGTGCGCGCCAGGAGGTCGTCCTGACTTGCACCACGCCGCACGCATATGCTATGTAAATCACCGTATTAAAAGTGTACCTTTAATTTCCGCCACGTTCCGGTTCAGATCAGCAGTACACTGCCTGTGCTATCCGCGCGGTGTGCTGCACTCGCGCCGTGCTCTCACTGCTCTGCGTCACAGAACGTTATATTTATACAAATGGACTGGATCCACGCTATCACAGCTGCATTTGAAGGGGCAAAAGCGATAGTCAATCGACTGCCAGTGGTATATGACCCTTGCCACCCGACTCGAACGGGTTCGCTGCTCACATAATTGTAATATGTATCGCGATTAACAGTGTTAGCAGCTGTGCCAGCAGTGGTCACCGTTTGTAGCCACCTTGTCCCGGAATCCCCTTTGCGGCGGCTCGAACCGGAACCCAGACGGGATAAAAAAACTTAGGATATTTAGATATATCATTTGCACATCACAGTGACCGCTCTCCGAATCGAACGGGCTCTCGGGTGCTTAGCCACAGCGCAGGCTGTGCGTCGCATCCCGCGCACCAGCAAGTCCTGTTCTGGCTCTCTTAAACTCATATATATGCATCGTGCAGCACTTATGATCCACAGCAAAAATCGCAGGGGTCGGAATACAGAAGAACCTCGTCCCCGAATCGAACGTTCTCTGGCTATGGCCAGCCTGACGCAAGTCAGCGGCTAGTAAGGCAGGCGCGCCGCGCGCCACGAGGTCGTCTTGACTTATATCAGGTCGCACACCTCGTCGCAGTTGTTTCAAGCCACTCATAAATGCAACATAAATGTATGCAACGTATTGTGCCATGGAGTCCGGTATGTCGCAACGGTCCAGTTGTAATCTTGGTGAATTATTGACGTACTAGAACTTTCAGCCAGCTTGGATGAAGGAAAGTGGCTGGGCTGTCTGATAATCGGCTACGACCGCAGCTGGAACAATGCCGCCAGTTATCCGGTTCAACAAACACTTGGCTAGTGAACATGCATGTGCCATTATGTATTGTTCAAAACGGCACCGAATTCGACAGCGTTGCATTACTGTACGCGCATCAAGGTTCAGCAGAGTGATTTACATACTGACCGTGCTGGTCCGATCCGACATCAAGGTGCGTACTTGTAGTATGTGACGACTCCCCAGTCCCCGCTTCTGGGGCCATCAATTCAGCCTCCTTTGGTGTGGTACATAATATACTATACATGGACAATTTGTTAACAATATGTGGATCGGAGCATTGTAAAGTCTTGGTTCAAATCCATGTGTTTTCAATGTAATAACTCCCCCGTGCTTTCTCATTTTGGTGCAACCTGATAAGGTCGCAAACCGCTGGCAGATGAATTCCTCATTCCCAGGGCCTCATGTTCAATATTGCGCTCGATGGTTATGGACATCCCATGTTGCCCGGCACGAATAGTTGTGCGTCCGGATGCCGTCTCGTGACTGTCGACAACGACGGTTCGTACGCGTTCAACCAAGAGTACAACTTGAACTAGTTCTTGTTTCATCCGCATCCGCCAGAGTGCAGTTTACTCCATGGTCCAGGCATCCAAGGCGATAGTCCCCAAAGACGCTGATGGTCCACGGGGTCAACGCATCGGCGTCTCCGTGGCGGGCCCGCCAGATCGGGCCCTCCGTTTTGGGATGTACGCAACGGGACGTCAGTCGCTTCGCGCTGGTCGTGATGAACTGTCAGTAGTCGCTGCCTCGTGTCTAATAATCCATTTCGCAGGGAATGACAACGCCTCAGCCAACTTGAGCGCAAGATCCTTCAATGGTACGCTTGTCACCAATGCGACGAATGCGAAGGCAACTGTGTCTGTCTCACGCCAGTATGCATCCTCTGGGGGATACCGTTGTGATGTCAATGCTTACCGGTTGCTTTTGACATCCGTGAGCCGCCTCGTGGTCCTAAACAAGTTGAAGTTGGGCTTAGTTGAAGGATGGAAGGAGGAAATGCTACATAGAGTGTGCGATACGAAATAATACGTGGAGTAGACGCAAAGATACGGATATATTGATACAGAGGTCGACGCTAAGATACTACAACGCGTCAAACAAAAGTTGGTCATTAGAATAAATAATAAACTACCTAGTAATACGGCATCTTCACAATACAAGGCCATCCGCATGGGCATATATCGAGCACGCGAGCAAAAAGTGGAGCGAGCCCGGCTGGATCGCATATGGACTCATATGGATGCATCAACACATTGTGATGTGTACATCACCCACATGGCATGCAGCATGCTCACCACGGCGGGACATACGCTGGCGTGACGGGGCTCAGCACATCGCCCTCGCTGTGCCCCGACGGGCGGCGGAACCGAATGGGTGAGTTGACCGCCGTGGAAGCGGACACGGACCGCCCCGCTGCCGCGGCTGCAGCGGCGGGCGTGTACTCTGATGGCACGGTCGATAGCGGGCTGAACACGACAGACGAGACGTTGCTTGGGCGCCTCGCCATCTCGAGCCGGTGCAGCTGCTCTGTGAGGTACGCGTCGCCGCGCGAGCCCGCCATGCCCGGCTCGGGTAAGGACGGCAGCGGCGGAGCAGTCTGCCGCACCGCCAAGTCGAAGTGCTGCACCGTGCGCTCCGAAGGCACTCTCGACAGCGGGGAAAACAAGATCGATTTGCCGTCCAACTCGGCCTGCGCCTGCGCCTGCTGTGCGATCGCTAGCCTCTGAAGCTGCGCGTCGAGGTATGCTTGGCGGCGCGCGTCGCTCCGCGCAGGCGACGGCGACGACACCGGCGACGGGGAAGCAGACGGCGGGAGCGGGGGCAGCGGGGAGTTCCTGCGTGCGACCACAGGGGGCCGCGAGAGTGGCAGCGAGGTATTGCGCGAGGGTGGCGACGTTCGTGCAGGCAGGAACGACCGGGAGGGTCGTGCATCGAATGGCGTGATCTGGTTCTCCATATCCTTGTCGGCGAAAGGGTAGGTGTCGACCTTCATGGCACGGCGGTTTCGCCGCCGTTGTATAAGGAGCATAGTAGAGGCGACGACGATGATGGCAATTACGGCGAGGGTCCCGGCGATTATCCCGAGAATTGTCCCCGTGTTGGTGGAGGATTTCTTGGACACGCCGCTTGATACTGACGCAGAACTTGATGACGACGATGTACTCAAGCTCGGCAATGAGCTAAAGCTGGGGGGGATTCAATTAGAAGATGGGCAAATGCAATACGCGGAGTTGAGAACGCACGTCAGCGTGACAATTCCGGTGGTCCTACTGAAACCTGATGCGACCGACGCAGAGAAGGTCGCCGTGGCGGAGAAACTGGGTGGCGGTGGCACGGCTACATCGACTACATTGCTGGTTGCCAAAGTTCTGCAAGAATATCAGACTGGGACGTTACAGGACATGTTCTGCACAACTCACGTAACGCCCGACAGTCCTTCAAAGGTGCCATCGACACCAGGGAAGGGAACGACGGTGGATACCACTTGGGGCGGGATGTTCGTCAAGTGGTTGCTCGACCCACCGCCGTTGAACCAAAGCTCCCATCCGGCCGCCGGCTCCGTGCCATCCAAAGTCCACGAGAGTGGGACCTGCGCGCCTTTGGCAAAGGGGCCAGCGACGGGATCAAAGGCCAATGCTGACGCATAGTGAATCAGGAAAACAAGAAAGAGAAGCCCAAAACTTTTTTCATCTTAGCGAACAACATAGTTTCATTGCAAGTAGGTCATGACGCACCGGGATATTCGAAAAAACATGATTAAAAAGATATTATAGTCCAGCTAGGGTTGCA